CAGAAGATCTCGAATTAGTGGCCCGTCAAGTGTTGTTTCCCACGCTTCACTTGACGAATATTTACGCTCTCTGCCACCAGGAGACTGCCTTGGCGACGACCATCGCTGTCGCTCTTCACTAGCTACTTGCGTCACCTTCCAGAACGTTAAAGGTGTCCCGGAGGAAGGTGACCATGTGAAACAGCGGCAGATCAACTCCTGGCTGCAAGATGAGCGAGTGGGAATAGCGTTGTTGGCGGAGGCCAAAACGTTTTGGCCCTCTATCCCAGACGGCCATGGGTGGAACGATAGGATGCGTTGAGCCACGATGAAGGCAAAGCACAAAGGTTTTAATTCGGCTGTCGCTTATAATAAACGGCAGTCACGATCTTTGGCAACTACAGCCTTTCAATGGGGAGAATGCATCGTGACAGTGCTCAACCAGGTCTCGCACCGAGCTAAGGAAGGTGGTAGCAATTTGACAGGGCTGGGACATTAGGCTTATGTTTGTCTTCAAGGGAAGAAGCTGAAGACCGGAGGGGGCGATGATCACTCCGGCTCTATGAATGATGTAAATGAGGTGGTCCGAGATCTAGTGGTTGTCTTGGCATATAGGCCAAATAGAGAAGGTACTGGGGAATCAACTGTGTGGGCCCAACATCGTTTCTACTTTAATTCTATAAAACGTAAGATTGATCTGCGCAAAGCATTGGTCAATGACTTGTGCAAACAAATTCAAAAGTGGAGGGACGAGGGTTGCGAAGTTTTGCTGGGTGTCGATGCTAACAAAGACCTTTTGGTTCACTCCCCGGACTCCATACGGCAGCGGTTCCGTGAGCACGGAATGGAGGAAGCGATTTTGAAATGGCACCCCCCCCCCACGGCAACCCACCAACAAAACCAAAGCAACGTTCCCATTGACGGAATCTTTACCACTTCAGGTGTTCCGGTTCTGGCTGGTGGCTACTACGCATTTGGTGAATTTGTTGAAGCAGACCACAGGGCACTATGGATCGATATCAACTTGAACACGGCTTTGGGCAATTTCACACCCCAGGGGTCTACCTTTAAACCTCGAAAGCTCACTCTTTTGGATAAGCGGTCAGTTACACGCTATCTTCAACTGGTCCACCTGGGCTACAAGGAGTATGACATCCCTTCCCATCCTACCAAGCTAATCCAGCACATTGAATCCAATGAGCGACAGATGTCACTCCCGCTGGCACGCAAATATAACTGCCTTCACCGGCAGATGTATATGGCACGGCGGCTTGCTGAAGACAATTGTCGCACTACCTCATCTGGCAAGGTCCCTTGGTCTCCAAAATTGCAGGGGGCTTCTGAGATCAATTGAGTCTCTGGAAGCTACTCCTTAAAGGACGCAATCGATGCCATGTGAGCTCCCAAAAGGTCCGGCGTCTGATGAAGAAGACAAGACTGTGCAACGCATGGAAGAAGATGACTGATGAATTGGAAGAGGCATTGGCATCTGAACGCAGGGTGTACAAGAAAGCCAAACGTCAGGCAACCCAATTGAGATGGGACTTTCTTACGGCTCAGACAAAGGATGCAAAGAAGAAGAAATGGATATCCCAGAAGGCCCACGATAAGATTCCTTTGGTTACAACAAATGAAGCAACAAGAGGAGGCGAGACGCCGTCATTGCGCCCAACAAAAGGGATCTACCGGGGGTTTGCGGGTTATTCAGATGGAAGAACAATTACCAGATGGCACTCAGCAGCTGCATACTATCACCAACCGTGCTCTGGTTGAAGAAGGTTGTATGCAAGAAAATGCGGCACGGTACGACCAGACGCGTGCTCCATATACAACTCCGCCTATGGTGGAACCCTTGTACACAGCATTCACTGGCGCTGAGGCTGAATCTAATTCCGTTGCACTATTGGATGGCCGCTACTCCCTGCCCAACCTTCTTGACCCTGCCACTACGGCCTTTCTTTCCCATTGCCAATTTCACAAGGATCACTTACCTGTGCACCTTGAGGTTACTACCTCTGATCACTTGTATTTCTGGTCTTGAAACCCAGAGGACAAGGGTTCTGAACCTCATGGCTTGCACAACGGACACTTCAAGGCAGCGGCCCAGTCACCAGTTAATGCCTATTGCGATGCCCTTTTTCGCAATATTCCTTTGGCAACAGGATTTGTCCCCTCAAATTGGCAGAACCTGACGAATTTTGCAATTGAGAAAAAGGCAGGCAACTTCCGGCTGTCGAAAATGCGTACTATTCAGTGAATGAATTCGGAGGCACAGGCAAACAACAAAATAGCGGGTCGCACGGCCATGCGATATGCCAAGGAACACTCCTTGATTCCGGACGGTCAGTGTGGATTCCGGGCGGTCAGTGTGGTTCTCGGAAACGCCATCAGGCAATCGATCTGGCCCTGTCCATACGTCTGGTCTGCGACTTGTTGATTCTCCAACGACGCGCCAAATCCTGCTTTGATCGTATTGTTCATCGGGTGGCAATCATTGCAATGCTCCGGTTTGGGCTGAATTGGAGGGTCCTATCCTCCATGTTCAACATGCTCTTGTCAGCAACGCATCGGGTGCGGAAAGGCTTTGGCGATTCAGAACATACTTTCAAGCCGCCTTCTGGTATCCCCTTCCAAGGCTGTGGACAGGGTAATGGGGCAGGACCCTGTCTGTCATAATTTCCCTTGGGATGTTGTATTCGCTCCGCTGCCCTATCAGGGTCTTGGACTTCCACATTTGTTTGGTTGTCAAGTGTTTAAGCATCTTGAGATTTTGCTCCAACATATGGCCAACAGGACCAAAACTGGTCACTATATGGAGGCCAACTTCCAAGCCCATCAACTTGAAATGGGGACATCCTTTGGACTCTTGCAACAAGTCTACACCAACACGGCGATCTTAGCTTCAGACACGCGGGTGAAACGAGTATGGTATGAACTCAAAGGTCTGGACATCTTGGCTTCTTGGAGGAGGAGCTGCCACTGGGTCTTTGCCCGGTCCGAAGGGCAGTGAGGAATGTGTAGGTGGTCTTCCGCCAGGCCGCACAAGGGGCACCGGTTCTTGGACTTGAGACCCCATTGTTTACGGAACTTGCTGACACCGCACATGCCAACGGTGTATTTTGTGATGAAGCGCTGCTTGGCGGGCTTCAGCAACTTCATCGCTTGGTGCACGACCGGCCAGTCCACCAATCGGAAGGTCTTGGGAGCAAGGCGGCCTTTGGCTGCCCAGTATTCCATCAATTCCGGCAGGACAATGACCTCGTCGACCGATGCCAAGGCCAGGCAGGAGACCTTCTCATTGTCAATGTAGATTGCACAGGGTGCGGAGAAGAACTTGGGGTTTCTGGCAATCGTGTCGTTGGTAGCTATCAGCTCATCGGCGTAGCCTTGAGCAATGTTGTCCACTTTGGAGTTCCGTTGTTCCCACCAGAACATCTGTTGCCATGTCTTGGTGCGATCAGCATGGCCGCCCACATGTTGTTCGGCCCAGGAGATGTTAGAAACTTGGAGGGCCTCGCGGATGGAGGACAAGAGATCAAAGTGTGGGGCGATTGGAGACAGCAGCCAAGTAGAGAAGGCCTGGCAAAGCGCGGCGATCCCATCACACGCCACCCAAACGCATGGCTTGTCAAGTGACTTGAGGCGTAGGCAAAGCCAAGAAGCCACCAAGATACCAGCTAACAGACCAATAAGTTCGCTCCGGCAAGGATAGAAGGAGATATACTTTGAGCCTGCCGGGTAGCTAAAAACGTTTACAGTAGAAATTTGTACGTAATATATTGTGTACAACCTAGATCTCAAAACGATCATCCGTCAGTAGTTGACTAGTCCAACTTCACCTTGTCCACCTTGGAATGCAGTGATATTTGCCTCATAGCAATTGTGTTTCAAATACCTTTTCAGCAACGCTATGACCTGGGACCAAAGCCAACATTGTGCAATCTCGGAGTATGAGCGGGACGTTGACTTGGACCAGCAAGTGAAGAAGGATGATAATGAGTGGATTGAGAAGCTCCTTGCAGCCGAGCAGGCTTCTCCAGAATTTGAGGGCACCATCACAATTGACCTGTCAATGCCAGCTGCAAAGGATATGGATGACGGGGCTACGGTCGGAAGCGCGGCAAATATGGCAGCACTATTGGAGAACATGAAATCCGATGTCAACGACCTTTGCTCGGAATTAGAGACTGCAGCAGAAAAACTGGCTCAAGCTAAGGATGCGGAGGCTGCCAAGGATGCTTGTATCCTTGAATTGAAGGCCAAAATGGCGGAACAAGCATCAGTCACAGGCAAGCACCGTTCGTCAAGCCCCTCCTCCAGCAAGGCCACATCATCGGCTGACCACCAACGGTCCCGTCATGCAAGGTTGCGGCGTTTGACGGAAGGCCAAGGTCAAAATCTACGCAACCAACACACATCCAGCCAGGTGGCCCACTCCTCGCTGGATGCTTATTTAAACTCTCTCCCTCTCGGTAACTACTTCGGCAATGACTCATGTCAGAAGTCTCCTTGCGTTACCCAGGTCCTTTTCCAAAATGTTCAGGGTCTTCCATTTCCTGTGACACATGATAAACAGAAAGGGCTCTTCAAGTGTTGGACGGATGAGAGAGTGGGTATTGCATTGCTGGCTGAAGTTAACCTTCAATGGTCAGCAGTGCCCAGAGGACACAAGTGGTTTGATCAGGTCAAGTCCTTCACTAACCAGGGACATTTCTCTTCAGTATCTTACTACGAACACCAGGAGTTTCCAACTCCCTCGGCACATCAATGGGGCGGATGTTCTGCTACATTACTCCACAAGGTCGCGCGCCGTGCAAAGTCAGGCGGCAAAGATGAGACAGGGCTAGGCAGGTTCTCTTGGATCAAGATCCGGGGCAGGGACATCCGACAACAGGAGTCTCAGACTGATGGGCCCCCGGCTGGTCCTTTAGATCTTGTGGTGGTCTCTGCATACCGTCCGAACAAGGAAGGTACCAATGCTGGTAGTGTTTGGAACTACCAACGGAATTACTGGCTGAGCAAGGGAGTGACCATGGATCCCCGTGACAAGCTCACACTGGATTTGGTGGACCTGATCAAACAATGGAAGGCGGCAGGGTGTGAGATTCTCCTTGGGTTAGATGCAAACAAAGATGTCTCCTACAACTCTCCCTCTTCCTTCCGCCAAGAGATGCGGTCAGAAGGTCTTACTGAGGCCATCTTACACCGACATCAGGGCCCTTACCCAGCGACAACCCAAAGTTGGATGACGGATACTCCCATCAATGGTATATTTGTGACCAACGGCGTCCGTGTCACTGCAGGTGGGTACTTGGACTTTCAGCATTATTTTAAGCCGGACCACAGGGGACTCTGGATTGACATTGACCTGGAAGCGACTCTGGGGACCCCACCGGTGACCTCTCCTTCCTTCCAACCATGTCGGTTGACACTGGCTGATGGCCGATCTGTGGACCGCTATATTAAGGCTGCGGAAGCGGGCTACCGGCATTTTCGCCTTCTTCAACGCTTGACCCAATTAGCGGAGGATATTTCGCTCCAGGACGGTTACCCTACGGCGAATCAGCAAGATCGATTCAACACCATTCATCGCCAGGCCTATGAGATCCGCCAAAAGGCTGAGCGCAACTGCCGGAAACTGTCAATGGGTAAGGTTCACTGGTCACCACAAATGCAGCAGAAATGGGATAGGTTGCACCTTTACCAGCTCCTGATCTTGGGCCATAGACAGGTCAGGACTAGTTCACGGAAGGTCCGGCGTTTGTTGAAGAAGACCGGGCTGACAGATGCATGGAAATTGTCAGAAGCTGACCTGAGGCAAAGAACATCAAGACTACAAAGAGGTCAAGCGGAAGCGTGCCCATCAGTGGCGCCTGGAATATCTGGAGACCCAATTGGCAGCGGTCCAGAGAGCCAAGAAGGGCAACATCAAAGCTTGTACCAGACGGACTCGAGTCCAGCGGATGGCACAAAGGAAGAGACCTGACGGCAACAGAAAGCTCAAGGCAAAGGCTTCTCTGGCGGCCTCCAGCAGATCAAAGTGGCCCAGGTGGCACAGGATGGTACCTCCCATTGGGTAACATGCCAGTCTCAACGTCTTGTGGAAGAAGGCTGCATGCAAGAGAACTGGCTCCGGTATGACTAGACCCGCTACCCCTACTCCACTCCCCCCATGACTGAACCTTTGTACTCCGACTTCAATGGCCCCAATGCCGAAAGTAACAGCCAAGCATTGCTTCGTGGTCTCTATGAAGGCGAGACAGCGGATCCTTACCTGGTGTCATTCCTGGACCATTGCCAACGGCCGGAGGGCTTGGAAGACCAACCCCTGAAAGTGGATCTGGAGGACCATGTTAGCTTCTGGCGTAAGATGGGGGAACACAAAGGTTCGGAGCCACACGGCTTGCATAATGGCCATTTCAAAGCGGGAGTAGCATCCAACTTGCTGGCCTGCTGCGACACGATCTTTTGCTCCATCCCTTTTGCTACAGGATTTGTCCCAGCCCAGTGGTGCCACTTGCTCATCTTTGCAATTGAGAAGAAACCAGGCGAGATTCGGGTGGACCTCATGAGCTCGATCCAAATGATGAATTCGGAGCTGCAGGCCAACAACAAGAGAGTGGGGAAGTGGGCCATGGCCTATGCAGAGCAGCACAACTTGATCCCAAAGGGCGTCACCAGGCCATTGATCTGGCCCTGACGAAGCATCTCACTTGGGACCTCTTGCATCTTCAACGCCGCCCGGCCGGGTGGATCTTTAACAATGCCAAGTCCTGCTTTGACCGGATTGTTCACAGGGTGGCAATCATAAGCCTCATGCGCTTTGGGATTCAATGGCGGACCCTTCGCTCCATGTTTGATACACTGATGAAGTCTAAACACCGGGTGCGCACGGGGTTTGGCGATTCAGACCGTGTCTTTACCCCTCCGACCCTGATTCCATTTCAAGGATGTGGACAAGGCAATGGGGCAGGACCTCCTATCTGGGTTGCAATTAGCTCCATTCTGTTGGGGATGATGATTAGCAAAGGCTTTGGCTTTGACTTTCTGATGTCAATCTCTTGGGCTCCGCTCTTGGCCGATTGCTTTTGTTTCGTCGATGACACTGATGTCTGCCAAGCGGCACCGTCTCCTGATCAGTCTAGGGAATCTATCGTCCCAGAGGTGGCCAACGCACTGCAATGGTGGTCCCACGGCGTCCGCCTGACTAGTGGCGCATCCGACCAGATAAATCCTTTTGGTATCTGATTGACTTCAAGTGGAATGCCCAACAAGGTGTGTGGAAATTCCGGCAAAAGGGGGATTTCAAACCATCTCTTCTTCCCACAGGAATGTCGGAAATTGCGGTTGAACTGGATGATCTGGATGGCACCCTAGTGCATCTACAGTGGTTGGAACCGGATGAATCGGCAAAGACTTTGGGTATCCTGATGTCCCCCTGCTCAAACAGGAAAGCACAACTGGCGGTGATGCAGGGGAAAGCAAAAGCATGGGCGGATCAGATCCAACCTAGCTTCCTCCACCGCTACAATGCCCTCCCTCTCCTTTGCACCACAATCCAGAAGACTTTGGAGTACCCCATGGCGCTCACCTTCTTCTCTCAACAGGAGTGGGACCAGCTCCTATCCCCAGTGCTCAGGGCGGCACTTCCAAAGTCTGGTATCTGCCGCAACTTTCCTTGTGCTATGGTCTATGCCCCTATTGCACTCCAAGGAGTGGGTGTCCCTCATCCGTACGGTCTCCAAGTCATCAAGCACTTGGATATGCTACTTCGCCATCCTGCCAATAAGACTAAGACGGGCACCTTCTTGGAGGCTGTCCTTCAGGCACATCAGCTTGAAACCGGTACCTCATACGGCCTCTTCCAACAAGTCTATGCCAACACCTCCATCCTGGCGTCTGACACGTGGGCAAAGCGGACCTGGAGTGAACTCGACTCTCTCTCCATCCACCTGGAGTTTGATTCCCCTTCTCTTCAGCCCCTGCGCCAAGGAGACCAACTGCTAGTCGACCTGTTTGTCGACTCTTTGGTGGACCAACTTACTTTGAAATGGCTCAACTGGTGTCGGATCTTCCTGCACGCAGTCACTCTTTCTGATATTGTGAATGCTGAAGGAACGGCGATTACTCTGCAAGCATGGAAAGGGCTAAGAGCGGACAGCTGTTCAGATCGGTACCAATGGCCCCGTACGGCTCGTCCGTCTAACCAATGGTGGACTGCTTGGCAGCAATGGATTTCTACTCACCTGACCGGCCACTCCAACCAACGCCGTCTCAGTTCTCCGTTAGGCCCATGGCATTCTGTTGACTTATCCTGGAAGTGGCAATACTCCCCCTCTACCAATACCCTGTTCCACCGTGAGGGTCAACTATGGATCCCTTCCGTTCCTCTTGCCTCCACCAGCCGTCAGCGCACCTTCCACTTGCCTCGTCGCTTCAACCCTGATCTCCCACCTCTACCAGTGGACGCTGTCCGCGCCTCGGTCTCTGTCTTCCCTAGCCGTTCTCCAATCCACAAGAGCCGGGTCCTCCTCCACTCTACGGGCCCTCACCAACCAGCCGAACCACCTGCCCCCCCATCTTCCATCCTTGACCTCTGGCATCACTTTGGCAGCCTGGCTGAATCAGGTTCTCATGGCTGGGTTCCAGAGGTCATTACCATTGAAGGTAGTGAGGACCGCCTGGTTCAGGCCCTTCGCGCTGGTACCCCTTGTGCTGTGAGCGACAGCTCTTACAAAGCTAAAGTGGGCACAGCCTGCGCCCACATTCTCACTGAGGACCGCAGGGATATCATCTGGATCACCTGCCAAACCCCTGGGAAATTTGACGACCAGAGTTCCACGCGCAGCAAATTGATTGGCCTTATGGCCTCTCTCCTGGTTTTGGACTGGCTGTCTCAGGTCGCCCACCTGAAACTCTTTGCCAGCCAACCATTGTTTGAGATGGCCTGCAACGGGCTCATAGCTCTTGATGAGTCCTTCTCTGAAGTCCACCTGTCATCGTCTGGTGCCCAATTTGATCTGGCCTCAACCATCCGGGCCTTGCTTCGCCACCTTCCCCTCCAAGTTCATCGGCGCCATGTTAAAGGCCACTGGACAAGCACCGACCTTTCTCCCAACTGGACTGGTGGGAGCAGCGCAATGTGGAAGTGGGCTCCAAAGCACAATCCTACCGCCGCCTGCTGGAGTCTACGGGCCGCTCGGCTGTCTCCAACCCCCGCTTCTTCCACAAACCTGTGTCTTTATTCATCGACGGTGTTAAGTCTTCCAAACTGGATCAGGCTCACATCATGGAGCTGGTCTCTCTTTCTGCCCTTCAAGCATATTGGTCCTCCAAGGACCGCCTCTCCAAGCAGTCCATCCGTGAGGTCGATTGGTTATCTCTTGCACGCGCCATGAAGGCCCTCTCAGCAAATCTCCAACGCTGGACACCCAAATATATCTCCGGTATGACAGGCGTGGGCAAATTCTTGGCCATTTGGAACCGTTCGGCGAAGAGCTCCTGCCCCAGATGCTCCTCCTGCCCCATGGAAGATCATCTCCATGCCCCACGCTGTCCTGCTCCTACTGCAGCGGCAGAATGGTCAAAACGCCATTTGGCCCTCCGGACCTGGATGCAGACCCAGCAGACTGCCCCAGCAGACTGCCCCAGAGATTGAAGCCTTCCTCTTCAAATACATGAAGACAGTCCGTCAGCCTTCCTTTGGCGTTCCCACCGTCCGAGCCTGGTCCCGCCATCCCCACCTCTTCCAAAGTGCCATCTCTTCCCATGCCACGCTTGGGGCCCAGGGCCTCATTGAAGGCCTAGTGTCCCCTAAATGGAGACACCTGCAGGCCCTTCACTTCTCCTACATTGGCTCCAAGAAGTCCGCCAACCTTTGGGCCTCCCGCCTGATCCAACAACTGATCCGGATTGGGCACTACATGTGGAAAAACCGCAACCGGCTTGCCCACTCTGAAGACAGCTCCTAGTACACAGCTCACAAGCGGGAGATTGACATCGGCATCCGCGAACAGTTCGCCATGGGCCTGATGGATATCCCCCCACGCTTGCAGTACCTCTTTTGGGACTCCCGCAAAACTGTCCTCAACAAATCACTTGAAGATCGTCAACATTGGCTGCGCCTTGTCTCCCGTGAGAGAGCAATCAACCGTCGCTCTCTAGCCAGGCAACGCCAGATGATCTTTGACTTGGCGCGACCCGCCAACCCAACATCGACTCGGCCACCCGGCGCTAGTCCATAAACAGTCAGATGTCTCGGCCATCTCTCTGTCCCTCTATGTTTTACTCTCCCTCTGTCGACCACAGGACTAGGGAACTGCAGTCTGTCACAAAGATGGTCGCCACCTTGTACTGCAACACTGTGCCATTGGGACGCTCTCTATTCACTTGGATCAATACGCCAAGGGCATTAGGGCACAAGAACAATTGGCTTCCCACCTGCTACACAATCATGCCCACCATCACCTTCAAAATACCAAAAAAAAACAAAAAAAATACGCTGCCCTGAGTGGCAAGATCATTTCTACATGTGCAAGGGTGCAAAGTAATATCCGATGAGAGCAACTTCCCTGGGATTGGATGCCTCAAACTGGTTCAACAGTACTCTAGTATAAACGGCTCCACCAGTATATAAGCATATGTCATCTTGTGACGCCATGCATGAAACCAGCACTGTGTTGTAGAGCCCCTCAATTGCAATCCTATTGCTTCTCCTCTTTTCTTCTCACTTTGTTTTTTTGTTCCTTTTCCTTTCTTCTTCCTCTCTCCCCTTCTTTTCTCCCTAGGGGATCTAGTATCAACCGCTCCACCAGGATAAAAGCATATGTCATCTTGCAATGCCATGCATGAAACCAGCACTGTGTTGTAGAGCCCCTTAATTGCAGTCCTATTGCTTCTCCTCTTTTCTTCTCACTTTGTTTTTTTCTTTCCTTTTCCTTTCTTCTTCCTTTCTCCCCTGCTTTTCTCCCTAGAGGATCTAGTATAAACCGCTCCACCAGCATGAAATAAAAACTGCGTGAGGAGTTGGTTTTGTGGTGGTGGGGTCTTTAGTGAATTTCTAGCCAATGAGAGTTAGTCGATTCACTAAAGATGAGTCTATTTTTAGTGGTATGAGCCAATCACAGCTCTCTATCACTAATGATAGATTTGACTAACTCTCTTCCACACTAAATTTGTACTCTTTAAAGACTTCAAAAGCTCCATACGGCCTTAGCAGTTTCTCTTTATCTTATCAAACAAATAAGCACCTTGTCTTAAGGACCAAGTCTTGATCTATTCTTCCATATGTAGGGACAGTAGACATTGTTATTGGCTTAGAGGCGCTTGAACATTATTTCAATACTGCAGGTGGTTCAGACACATAGACTATCACATCAAACATTCATGGATTGTTACCTTGTTCCAAATTTGTCTTAATCCTTGCTAATGCCAGGATAAAAGCATATGTCATCTTCTGACGCCATGCATGAAACCAGCACTGTATTGTAGAGCCCCTCAATTGCAATCCTGTTGCTTCTCCTCTTTTCTTCTCACTTTGTTTTGCAGCAGCCCAAGCTTCAACACGCTGGATTACTTGATTGGTAATGGGTAGTACAACAACCTTGGGTCGGGAAATCATCTTCTTAGTATTGAGGTTGAGCACTCGGTGCCCAGTACGTTGTCCCTTTGTAGGTTCAATGTAAATTGCTTCGATACTTCAGGTTTCCATCGAATTGTTGGAATCTGTCCCAATTGCATGAACATATTGTCCAAGTTCAGCAACCATGTCACTCTTGTAGTTGATATTGACATTATCAATGAGTTGCGGCGGACTGAAATGTGATGAGATACTGTCTTTCTGGGGAAATACATTCAATAGCTCGGCGGCTCAACGTCCAAGACATTCAGTGATCACTTTTGGAACCACTTTGTAGGGTAATCGTGCAAGAGCTACTCTGACTCTTTCTTTCAGCGTCCTATTGTTTCGCTCAGCGGTAGGCTCGTGGTCTCCAGCTGCAGTCAGGTCAATAGTAACACCCATATCGTCTAGCACATCATCCGTGAGAGGAATGAACGCCCAATCACACTTGATGATCTTGACTTGAAAGCCTGCCTTGTTGTAGTGGCGGAATATCTTATCCAATGCTTCAAATACAGGGTCAGTCTTCAGGATCTGCACAGGAATACATGAGCAATAACGCACAGTGGTATCAATGCAGGTGAGAAACTTAGCATTCTCGATCTCCATGTGATCAATACAGACAGTAGTAGATCGATTGTGCTGATATAATTCCTCTGGTGGACTGAAGAAGTCGTCGTACCTCTTCTTTGGAGTTGGTCTTGTTGACTTGCCTTTCAATGTAGAGGCGTCAGGTCCAAAGATTGCTTTGGCATGATTGATTGCTTCTTTGGTGATAGGATAGTTCTTGATGAGACTAGATCGGATTGCATACTTCAGACTTTTGGTGCTTGGAGCATTGAGTATGTGCATTGCACTTCTTGCCTCCATCGCAGCCTTGACTTGTCTTGGAGTGAATCCTTCCTTGTTCTTTTGAACGGTTGCCATCTTGGAGGTCATCTCAAGTCCACCATATCCATTCTGTTTGTTTGAAGAAAGTTTGAAATGGGGTTGATTATTTAGGTTGCTTAACTGGCGACGGTACATCACACTTGTCTCTTTGGCACCTGGTTTGACATTCGCTCCAAGTTGCTCCAACACATACACACCCTTACGATTCACAAATCGCATCTTTTGGTTTCCATCACAATGCACAATAAAAGCATTGTCAGCATCAGTATCCATAGTAATGCGGTATCCCACAGCCATCATCTTGCGCATAGCAAGTACATTGGCAATTCCATCTTCATCGTGGTAGACTGGAGGTGGAAATCTTCCTAGAAAACCTTCTTTGTCGACAACTCTGCTACCCACGTTAGTGTGCATGTCAAGTTCCTTCTCAGCATGACAGAGTCCATGCATAAGCTCACCATTACAAATGGTGGTGTTTGTACAACCACCGTCCATGATGACATGATCGTAAAACCCAAATGGATCTCTTTCCTTTCTGCGGCTTTGAATAAACTGCAGACCTCGATCTGCTTCAGTAGCAAGATCAGGCAAATCTTCATCTTCACTAGCATAGTGCCAGCCGACTTGAAGTTTGACATTTGTTGTACCAGCAGGACATGGAATAAGATAGACATCATTGCCATTCTCATCCTTTCCCTTGATAGCGCATCGTGAAAGACATTTGATATATCAAAATATCCAGTTTTCACAGCTTGCGGAGTTCAAGCTTGAGTTGCATCGAATCCTTGGCGCACTTGAGCACCACTGAAGCCTTGTCGGCTGAGTTGCATTCCACTGAACGCAATCTCACCGTTAGCATTCATAGAGTAAGGGACAGTAACAGTTCCGCCACCTTGAGTTGGAATCTGCATGAGCTGCATTCCAGAAGGAACTTCCATCATTTGATTACCTGTAGTACCAGCAAGTCGCAAAGGTGTGTTAACGCTTCCCGCAACACTTGATGCTCCACTTGTGGACGCTGAAGCTCCAGGAACTATAGCTGGGACCGTAGCTGGGACAGTTGCTCCAATCTGATTAAGATTGAGCTTCTTCTTATAATCAACATATTGATCCTGATTCTTCCATTCCATCTTTGGTAACAGTCTGTCTGGGCATTTTGGAGACATATGGTCTTCGTTGCCACATACATAACATGCTGCCTTCTTTCCATCCTTTGGTTTCCCCTTTCCTTTTCCTTTGCCTTTACCTTTATTAGGTTGGTCTTTTCCTTGGCAGAGGTTCACTCCCGGATTTTTACTCACTTCCATTTGAATTTTCTTGTGAGGGTAAAATAGAATCTAATGGAGTTATCCAAGAAAAGGCCGGTCTTGACCAAAGCTATTGAAGAGAAAGTAGCTTTCGCCCAGGCTTCATCAGCGGCAAGACAAGTGGGCAAAAGGCAAGAGTTTTGGACTTTTTGTTGGCGATTCAAAAAGCAAGCAAGCCGGCATGGTTGTTTCGACGGTTGTAGCTATCATCCTCGGTCCTCAAGTGAAGATTTGGTATATTCATGTAGGTGAAACGCAAGGTTCAAATTTGTGCAAACGCCTGTATGGTCATCAGTTTGGCTCTGTACTTGGCGTATGATCCAAGAGTTCATCTTGGATGGTTGAAACTGTTTGGGCAGTAAGACATTTTGATTTGACATGACTTGGGAAGAGTAAGTTCTTCAAGTTGGGTGGTCTGCTGTATGCAACAATGAGGCGTTCAATGCCATTCCGGTTGCGATTGTGAGGATTCCGTATGTTGTACGGGTAATCTTCAAATTCAGTCTTTGGTACAAGTGGGAGGGGCGTTTGGATGAAGAGGCCTTCCCATGTCACACGGTTGGTGCTGAGGCAACTCAATTCAAAATTGCACGCTCTGCCAAAGGTCTTTGACCGAGAGATAGGGCAAAGGACTTGTGTATGGAAGGCGTCTTGAATGGTTTTTCGAGATGGGTCGCGCGAGTGGAATGGAAGGTGTAGGAAGCAGAGATGGTCCGTTGAAGAAGGGGTGACAGGTTCTTTGCGGGGCTTAGAGAACTGTTGAAGGGCTGTCTCAAAGGCAGAGTTAAGGAACTTCAGTTTGTAGCCTCTTGCAAAGAAGTGAGAATGGAACTTAGCAAGAGATTGTTTCTTGTCGATATCTCTGGAAGTGAGTTGCAAAATGCAAAAGATTCCTCCAGTGACAAGCCCAAGTAGCACTGAAGAGGTGTGGGCGGAGTTAGGAGGGATGAAGAGATGGAGGTTCAGTGGTTTTTCATATAGTTTGGTGTTAATATGAAAGGGCTCAACAGTAAGAGTAAGGTCAAGGAAGTTGACAGTCTTCAGAAGGGTAGAAAAGTACCAATTGAGAGTGCAAAAGTTGCCTTGACATTCTTGAAACTCGTCCTATTGTTGGCGATCCACGGCTGGATCTGGGTGGTGAATCCAAATGCCAAATTGGTCGTCAATGTATCGGCGGAGGTAGTGTAGAGATGATCCAAAACATTGAAGTAGATCAATCTCAAAAATACCATAGTACAACATGGCAAAGGAGGGTGCAGGTGGTGTGCCCATTGCAGTTCCGTCTGTTTGGAGCCAGTAGGTGTCTCCAAAGCGGAAACAGTTCCTTTTCATGATTATTTCAAGGGCAACCAGAATTGGGTCGGCTGAGACGTTGTCACAGAGAGGGGAAGTTGTCAAGAAGTTGCGGATACGAAGAAAGGCGTCTTCAAGGTTGATGCTGGGGTTCATTGCCACTACATCACCAGTGAAGAGGCTCATGCAAGAGAAGTCAGTTCCATGCATGTTGTCCAAATCATTTTTTAGTTGGAATGAGCTGAAAAGGTAGGTAGGAAGTTTCTTAACAAGGGGCTGAAGTTGTTGGTCTAGCCATTTGCCAAGGCCATAGAGCAAGCTTCCAGAGACGGAAATGATTGGGCGTGTCTTCCAAGGACTCTTGTGAATCTTTGCAAGGACGTAGAAGTATGCATAGGGGTCCGTCACAGACTCAAGAGATCTCCGAAGATATGTCATGTCCATTTCGCTGTTGGGATAGGAGTTCTCGGTGAGGAATTTCTTGAGAAGGTGTCTCGTTTCAGAGGTGAAGTTGTCAGCTTCTTCCTGAGAAAGTTGTTGATAGGGCCGGGTGAGAAGATGATCAGTAAGACAGCGGCGCAAGTAGACTTCTTGTTCCAAAATCACTGGTCCTAGATTCTTATCAGAGTTGAGGACGAGTAGATCAGGGTGATGGCGGAGGGTGGAGAGGAGACGGTGCTGGATGGGAGTGAGGTTTGAACAGACTGTTCGGCGACGGAACGGTGGCTTCAGTTTTTTGCTAAAGGAGTCAATTCGGGCCTGAATCTCACGATTGATAATTTGGTCATTGAGAATATAAAGCTGTTTTGGAGTCCACTTGGACTCTTTGCCAGCAAAGTAACACTTTGTTTGAAGATCTTTCGCAAAACAATCCAGGGATGTAGAAAAGCGGCTCTGGCTGGTGGTGAATTCTGGACGGGGACAGAATTTCAAGCCCAGGCCGAGAAGAGATTGCATGAAAGGAGGTGGGCTTTTTGTTGTACACAAGTTGTGGCAAGCAGCATTGGAAAGGCGAGATTCAAGAGTAACAATTGGAAGTTATAAAATATGATTATGTAAGGTTACTCGGTGGGATTGTGATGCGTCCGCAAAGAGGCCGTAGCGTGATATCATAGTTGATCGCAACTGTTGGTCTATCTTCTGCTGTTGTTTCGAGATGGCTTGTTTTTCTGCAATGTTTTCTTTCTGGAGGTGGATTTTCGTTTGGAGGAATCTGCGACGACAGCGTCGGCTTTTGCAACAGTTTTTAGCTGTTGTTTGCCGGAGTTGGAAGCAGATGGTTGACGGTTGGGTGTGCTCTTTTTCTTTTTGATCGAGGCGCCGGGTCGAGTGGCCCCTCTGACATCGTTTTTTACCATAGAGCGTTGGATTGTCTGGAGTTGTTGTTCCAGTTTCTTTGTTTTCTCACAAATCTGGTCGTTGACACGTTGGTTGATTATGTCTTGGACTGTTTGAGGATTGGTAAGGTCTAGGTCTGCAATGGCCATTGCAGTAGTGGCAGTAGAAGTTTCTGCGCGAGCTAAAGCAATGAACTTCTTCATCAACTCGGTGTTGGCAATGGTAGAAGTTTGTTTCTCAAAAGTGTCCCAGCTGTCAACAAAGAGGGCTTGAAAGATATGTTGAAAGACAACGACAGTTGGCGATGTTGCTGTCACAGCGTACATGATGCGATCAGCTTCGTAGCGGTAGGCAGTTGTTCCGGTTTCGGCTGGTGTGTGGGCATGAGCAAGTGCAAAAATGCAGTCATAGACAGCATTTACATTTGAAAATTCGGAATGTTTGAGAAAAGGGGGTGTTTGAGCATCAGCAGTGTCGAAGATAAATTGATAGATATCGCAACTTTTGGTTTCACTGAGGTCTGGATCACCGATGGCAAGTGTGATTGCAATAACAACAACACTGCGGGCAATGCAGTGCTGGATTGCTTTTTGGACTGAGGCAATTTCAAGTTTAACAAGCTTTTTGAGCTCATCACAAATAGTAGTTTGCATAAGACCAACGGCTGTGTTGCAAGCGTGTTCCACTTTATCGACGTCTGCTTTGCTCTCTTCGAGAAGTCGAGCAGAGGAATGTAGTTGAAACTTGAATTTGGTGGAACGTGGCACATAATCGTCTTGGTTCAGAGTGATTTGGCGATCGTTCAGATTTTTGAGATTCTTCTTGAGTTTGATAAATTCAGTGAAGAGTTCTCGAAAGTAGGTTCGTTGCAATTCTTGGAGCGATCCATTGGCAGTCAGCGCGGTGATGGCAACACATTCAACAGCTTCGCTAGGGGTGGTAAGCAAAGTTGGTTGTAGTGTTTTGTCCGTTGCAAATTGGGCGCGTTTGTTGGTAGAGAGAGTGCCGGTCGCAGTCATTATTGATTGAAAGTAAATCTTGTGAGGGTAAAATAGAATCTAATGAAGTTATCCAAGAAAAGGCCGGTCTTGACCAAAGCTATTGAAGAGAAAGTAGCTTTCGTCAAGGCTTCATCAGCGGCAAGACAAGTGGGCAAAAGGCAAGAGTTTTGGACTTTTTGTGGCGATTCAAAAAGCAAGCAAGCCGGCATGGTTGTTTCGACGGTTGTAGCTATCATCCTCGGTCCTTAAGTGAATATTTGGTATATTCATGTAGGTGAAACGCAAGGTTCAATTAAGGGAGGCATCAAATTCGTGCAAACGAAAGTTGTAGCGGCGGAATATCTTATCCAATGCTTCAAATACAGGGTTAGTCTTCAAGTTCTGCACAGGAATACATGAACAATAACGCACAGTGGTATCAATGCAGGTGAGAAACTTAGCATTCTCGATCTCCATGTGATCAAGACAGACAATAATAGATCGATTGTGCTGATATAATTCCTCTGGTGGAAGTACATTGGCAATTCCATCTTCATCGTGATAAACTGGAGATGGAAATCTTCCTAGAAAACCTTCTTTGTCAACAACTCTGCTACCCACGTTAGTGTGCATGTCAAGTTCCTTCTCAGCATGACAGAGTCCATGCATAAGCTCACCATTACAAATGGTGGTGTTTGTACAACCACTGTCCATGATGACATGATCGTACAACCCAAATGGATCTCTTTCCTTTCTGCGGCTTTGAATAAACTGCAGACCTCGA